GTTCTTGGGGGGCTGCAGGCTCCCTCTGCTCCAGCAGTCCCTTCTTGGCGGGAGAAGCAACCAGAAGAGGGGCTGTCCTGGCTGTGAGGGAATGGGATGAGAGGAGCCCTTTACCAAAACTGGCTGGGTGTGAGAACTGAACTTACTATACTGACCATAGGGGGAACACCACTATCTTCAGGAGGATCTTAGGTGAGTCCAATTTCCCATCCAATTTATCTATAAAAGAAATTAATCATCCTTCCCTGACATTCTGTGACTCCCAAGCCAATCCACCCAAGGTGGAGGCCTGCGAGCCCTGCCCCAAGCCTGCACTGCGGAGGGAACCAGGTGAGCCTTGCCCCCACTGCCCAGATGCTGGGGGTAGGGAGGGGACAGTGCTGCAGAACCACCAAAGCCAGAGACCCTGGAGAGAGGCCAGCTTTCACCCTGGATATCTCAGACATCACTGTGCAATAATAACCTGGGGAGCTCGAGAGATCAGCAAAGCAGAGGCCTGATCCCACCCTGGAGCCCGACATCACGAGTGGGAGCCCAGGTCCACGCAGGTAGAGACCCCACCTACGACTGATGGGGAAAGAGGGAGTTTCCGTCCGAATCTTAAAGAATACATGGCTAGGGGCTTTAGAAAAGTATTAGCTGGAGATAGAGGGTCTGTCAGGACATGGGATGCAAGCAAAACCAGAGAAGTAGAAGATCAAGCACAGGCTTCTCCGACCTGCATGTCCCAGACAGTCCACACACCATAAACATCCACCAGGACCCACCCAAGCCACAGACTAGGAGAGTCACTGCCCACAAGGAGCTCGGTGCTGGGCAGTGAGAGGTGACCGGCAACAGGACCTGGTAAATGCAGTCAGAAAAGGGATGCTCCCTCTGTGATGAGCAGGCTGGCAGGAGGATTGTGGTTTTAACCATATGAGTCGGTTTGCTTTGCCAAAGGACAAAAAATATGCTAGCCACAGACAGCCTCCTAACCACAGCCACGGCTAAGTCTTTGCCACCGAATAAGCCCAAACAACAGTCATAAAGAGACCCCTAAGTCCAGGTACACCCACACATACACACTGACCTCCAACACCGGCCACAGAAGGGTCCCAATCCCAGTGTGAGCCTTCAGGGTGACCCCTCATATCTTCCTCTGAGTCCTCAGCTCTGACCTTGGCCTTGGGGCTTTGGACAGGAAAGCCACCCAATAGGTTGCTGCTCTACTCTGAACCTGCCCAGAGTTCCAGTCAGGCCAGCCTTACCCCCGACAGCCCGCTGGGCCCTGTGCCGGCGAGAACAGAGTAGACTCCGGTACCCAGTTGACGGTCATAAATAATGGTTTGAAAGAATCCCTGTGTTAACTAACAATCTCTTACTTATGCTGCAGATTCCTGACCAGCACCCCTCCCTCCTGCGTCCATGTACCGTCCTGGCTCCCTCCTTTCAACATTTCCACTCACTCCTCAGCCCACCCCCATCTGCTGCCCCCTCCTTCCTCCCCAGAACGGTTACCAGGCCGCGGTGCACTCCCCACCATACTTGGCCCCTCTCCCGCAGCTGACACGGCTGCCCGGTCTCCCTTCGAGAAACGCTCCTCCTACCCAGTCTCCAGCCTCCCCCACATCAGCCTCTGCCCCCCAGGGAGCCCCTCAGGGCGCCACCCCAGGAATCTCTCCTCTTCTCGCTTCACCCTCTCCTGGAGCACTCACTGCCCCTGGCCCAGCCCTCCACCCCAAGCTTTAATGCCCACCTCTAGAAGAATGGCTCCATTACTACCTCCAGTGCGTACCCTCTTCTGAGTCTGGCCCCCAAATACTCAGCAGCTCACTGACACCCCCATTTGTGTCTCAAGCACGTGCAACACAGAACTTAGAACTTCAGCCCTCATCCTCCCTTGGGGTCCCCCGTCTCAGAGAACAGCTGTACCATTTACCAGTGGTTCCAAACCCAGGGCCACTCTTGCCTCCTACCTCTCCCCAAATCCTCCTATCTCATCAGTCTACCTCCTAGGAAATCAGAGCTCTGACCACTTCCAAACAAGCCCACAGACCCCTCAGAGTCGGGCCACCATCATCCCCTCCCCACCCCTGCACCGGACTCCCTCGGTGACCTCCCAACCCTTCCCCCACTTTTCCACTCTGCGCCTCCCACAAACTCTCCACCCAAGAGCCAGGGTGAGTTTTTCCAAAAGTCCCATCATTTGGCTACTGCTCTGACTAAAATCTTCAAAGACAACAATGCCCTTAGGTAGGATAAAGCCCAAAATCTTTAACAAAACTTCTGAGGGTGTAGGTGGAAGGGATGGGCAGAGTGGGTGCAGGGGACCGGGAGGCAGGGGCTTCTGGTTCTGGAATGACTAAGGCACGGGGTAAGAGGCACAGCACAGGGAATAGAGTCGGTGATACTGTAATAGGTGTACTGTGACAGATGGCAGCTGTACTCGGGGTGAGCACAGCAGAACGTACAGACGTTGTCCTCGTCCAATCACTATGTTGTACACCGGAAACTAATGCAACATTGTGCCAACTATACTTCCACGTTAAAAAATGTTCTCAGATTAAATTTTTTAAAAAGTAAAGAATAAGGGGCGCCTGGGTGGCTCAGTCGTTAAGCGTCTGCCTCCTCTCTCCTGCTCCAGGGGCTCACGGAGCCTGCAGCACTATGTCTGCGTACCCATCCCGAGATTCCGCCCTCCTAAGGAGCTCCCGAATGATGCAGGCCCTGCTGGTCCCTCAGCCTCCCTTTGAGTAGCAAGCATCTAGAACACTCTCCTCCACCCTGACTGCACCTTTGCCAACAAGGTCCTACTCAACTGCCAGGGCTCAGCTTCCACATCATTTCCTAAGAAGTCCTGCCTGATGCTCTCCAAGGTTAGGTTCGATTCCCGCACACACCCCCTTTATATTGTCCCTGAGCTATGCTGTGATTCTCCTTTGGAACGTTCATCACACCCAACTGTCCATCCTTCACCTTCAAGTTAGTTTTTCAACTTTCACCCCCGCCCCCCCAGCTAGATGACAAGCTCCAGGACGGCGGGGACCGTGACTCCGTGTTCACTCAGCACCGGGCCTGGCACAGGGCCAGCACTTGTGGTAGAAAGCTGTTTGTGCCTGCCCTGCATCCATCTCCCCATCTTCTTCTCCTAATGACACCTCAATGTTCCTTTGAGGAACCACCCCTCTCCCACTCTCGGTTCTTTGGGCTTAGATAAGCGGGCCTGAGACCAGGTCTGGCCAATCAGAGCCCCCACCTCTCTGGCCACAATGATTGTTTCAGAACTAGGCAGGTGACCTAAGCCAGGCCCTCAAGCTTCCTCCCTGGGACTTTCGTTAGAAGTACTGGGGGAAAGATACTCTTCTTTCCACTGAAGTTACTTAGCAGGTAGGAGCTACTGTCACCATCTTGGCACCACAGAGACAGAGCTTGACAAAGAATGAAACCAACACAGAAGAGAGATGGGAAGAGACAGATCTCATAGATGTAGCCATGCCTAGAGTCTACACTTGCCATTACAAAGCAATAAATTCTGTTCTATGCTTCAGCCAAAGTGAGTTATGTTTCCGTCACTTGTAACCAAGAGTCCTGACGAATACAACATTCAAGCAAGTACTGGGTGTTGAATGAAATAACTGAGCATGTGGGTAAGGGAAGCCTGCCAAGAGAACTCAGTGACTCCTCCTAGGAGACTTCCAGGGTTCTCCCTGCAAACTCCCACCACCCATGAGCACAGTGACAAGCATCCCACATCCAATTTTGCAGACCAAGGGGCTGAAACGCAGAATGGTAACATGCTTCTCAGCATTACCCTCTGCAAACAAACCACCCAGCACCTGGCTCAGGTGCCTGCACTGGGATTAGGCTGATGGAGGTGCTCTGCCTTTCAATGCCCCTGGATACCCCATTAGGAGGAAAGCAGGGCTGTCCACAGTCAGCCCTGTGCCCCACCAACTCCTGAACTCCTCAGGCTCTGGCTGTCATTCTATGATATTCCCCCTTGATGCCACCACACAGCTCTCTGCATGGTGGGCATTCAATATGGGATGATAACGGAAAGGTGGCTTTTACCTACTTCCTTTGAGGGGGATCATTTTCCAACAGATCAGATGAGGGGAGTGGGGGTACAACAGAGAGCAAGAGGAGAGAGGTGTGTAATTATTTCCCTGTGAGTCATCACCTAGCAAAGCCCCAGGACAGAGATGGAGGGTGGCCTAGATGTCCCCTCAGATGACTCAGGAAGCTAGTCCTCACCTGGCACACTGTGAGAGGGAGGGAGGGAGGGAAGGAGCATCATGCATTGCTGCCTAGGCAGGAATACTGGCTGAGCCAAAGTCCTCCCTGAGAGCCAGCTCGGGCCTGTGACCATCCTGTCAGGGGGCACTGATATCTGAAGGGAGCCGGGCATGGTGCGGGGAGGGTGCAGTTGCCTCAGCTCCTTTCCAGGAATGAGCAGGCTGGGCCCAGGGTTCTGGGAGGTGGTCTCCCAGGAAGGACACTTGTGAATGAAGTGCTAATAGGAAAGATTTACTGACCCCAGAAGCTCCAGAGCAAGTCTCCCACAGGGATTGGGGTGACAGGGCCAGCCCAGGGGGGCCAGAGGCAGGTAGAGCAGCATGCAAGTGCCACCCAAGTCCCAGGAGGGTGCCGCCCACAGGACCCGCCTTCCCCAGCCCCGGCACCAGGCAGCCCTCCTGGGAAGTAGCCCCTTAAAAACAAAAAACCAAAAAAAAAACAAAAGACACCAGGCCGCAATCCCTTCTCCGCCTTTTGGCTAAGACCAAGTGAAGACAGCAGGCTACACTCTTGAGTGTCCTCACTCCCTCCTGCCTGGGCCCCTTGTGCTCGACCCCACAGCCCCCCAAGGCCTCATTCAGCCTCTGACACCCCCAAGTCTCAGTCACACTGTCCTCCTGCACCGGTGAGCTCAGGTAGACACTGCCTCCTGGGGTGTCGGGGTGCTCTGTGGCACCCACTGGGCCAAAAGGACAGTCACTGCCCAACTCTAGGCCTCTTACCTTCATAGTGGGAGGTGCGGTGAGAGGGGGGGACAGCGGCCGGTCTGGGAAGGTCACGTCCGGGCTGTTGGCCAGCTCCTGCTTCCTGTGAAGAGGCCACAGAATACGGGAGAGGTCAGAGGTCAGTGAGAGCCTGCCGAGCCGTCGCCTCTCCCCGCCTACAGGAGTGGGCACGGGGACCTGCTCTAACACACACCGCGCGAGACCAGGCTGCACCGCACTCTCTGCTGGGGTGTTCTAAACTTTGTTTTGTTTCGTTTTAAAACCTAGCACAGTTAGCCTGGTGGTGGGTATTGAGGAGGGCACGTTCTGCATGGAGCACTGGGTGTTATGCACAAACAATGAATCATGGAACACTTCATCTAGAACTAATGATGTAATGTATGGTGATTAACATAAGAATAAATAAATGAATAAATAAATAAATATTTAAAAAAAAAAAAAAAAAAAAAAAAAACCTAGCACAGTCCAGGGGCACCTGGGGGGCTCAGTTGTTAAGCATCTGCCTTTGGCTCAGGTCATGATCTCAGGGTCCTGGGATCGAGCCCCGCATCAGGCTCCCTGCTCGGTGGGAAGCCTGCTTCTCCCTCTCCCACTCCCCCTGCTTGTGTTCCCTCTCTCGCTGTCTCTCTCTGTCAAATAAATAAATAAAATCTTTAAAAAAAAAAAAAAAAAAACCTAGCACAGTCCAGTGTAGTTAGAAAATACCTTTTATTTTTTTTTAAGATTTTATTTATTCATTTGAGAGAGAGACAGAGAGTGAATGAGAGAGAGAGAGAACACAAGCACGGTGAGGGGGGCAGAGGCAGAAGCAGGCTCCCCACTGAGCAGGGAGCCCGATGTGGACCTCGATCCCAGGACCCCAGGATTGTGACCTGAGCCAAAGACAAACGCTTAACTGACTGAGCCACCCAGGCACCCCTGTTTCATTTTTTGTTTATTTATTTGAGAGAGAGAGAGAGTGTGCGCAAGCAGAGGCAGGGGCAGAGGGAGAGGGAGAGAGAGAATCTCAAGCAGACTCCCCGCTGAGCGCAGAGCCAGACCTGGGGCTCGATCTCACAACCCTGAGATCATGACCTGAGCCAAAATCAAGAGTCGGACACTTAACCGACTGAGCCCCCTGGGGCTATTCCACATACGGTTCCTGTACCAGCCATATCAGCATCACCTGGGAACTCGTGAGAAATGCAAATGCTCAGGTGCACACCAGAGTCTCAGCCGTGGGGCCTAGGAATCTGGGTTTACAATCCCTCCAGCTGGTTCTGATGCACAGTGCAGTCTGAGAACCGCGCTCTGAAGACAGAGGACCCACAACACCCACAGGCCTCAGAGGCACGGACAAATGTTGAAAGGCATCAAAATAAGCGTACCGTTTTACCGCAGTGACACAGTGGAAAATAATTAGGCCCTGAAACTGTAGCAGTTACCATTCATCTTCAAGCATTTTCATTTGTCAAAATTATAGAGGTTACTAAAATACAGCTATACATTCAGTAGATGTATTTCTAAATATAGTTGAATTCAGGACCAAAAAAAAGAGAGACAGAAGAAGAATATAAACATTTGTGAGTCATCCTTCCTGGGTCCCCTTTGCCCCTGTGAACACGAACACACACACACACACACACCCCACCCCCCCAACCCTCCCGCGGCCAGAGAGCTGACCCTGGGAGGATGGGGCTGCCTGCTGTGTAAGCTGCAGGTAGAACTTATTTTAGTCCATGTGGGCTAGGACCATGGAGAAGCAGCTCAACAGAGTTGTGTCACCATGACAACACGACAGCAACAAGTTCACTGCTCTCACATTCTCCCCACTTTCCATCTGGCCCTCGCTGGTGACCAGGCGGTGCTAGCTTGCAGTCCGATCCCCGGGCAGGATGCTGGCAGTGAGATAAGCCTTTGGAGCAATGGTTACGCAACAGGGCCAGCTGGGCAGAACTTGGGGGAGCCCCAGACAAGGGCCTCTGGTGTCCTGGACGTGCCCTGGCTGTCTCCTGAGACAGCGTGGAGCGGCGAGGGTAACGGTATCAAGAGCCCAAGACCTGGCTGAGCCGCCAAGGCTCCCAACTTTGCAACTGCTTCCTTCTCCAAAGCCCCACCCTGAAGCAGCCGAGTCAGTCTGACACCTGGGTCCTATTTCAATGTCCAAAGGACCCCCACTGCCACCTCAAGAGAATGCTTCTGTACTTTCTAGCCCACATCTTGCCAAGAGGGAGGACAACCCCAACCCCAGACCTCCTTCATGAGAGAAGCCCACGCTCCCTACAGAGCCTCGCCCTCTGCCTTTCCACAAGAAGCCCTTTTGCCCTGAGAGCCAGACACCACCCCAGCCTGGCTCCCCTTAGCCCACAGGGCAGCCCAACCTGAAAGAAATCAGACCAGGTGCTGTGGGGCCCTGTGTACCCTGGCATGACCCCTGCCTACCCCTGCCATGGGCCATGCCTCATTGTCCTCTAGGCAACCAGGTAAGGAGGCTGCGTGAACATCTGGCTTCGAAGAGGATCCATATGACCCCCATTAACCTCAACCTGCCAATCCCCCTTTCTGATCCTCCATCTGTCTTTTTCTTCATGTCCTCCTGAACCTAGCTCTCATTCAGGGTGGGGAAGAGGGGGGTGCCCCCCTCCGGGTCCAGACTATAACTGGCACAAGAACCAGCAGGGCCACGAATCGTGCAGATGTGCACACACTCACGTGCAAAGGAATGAATGAGGCTCCTTCTACCTCTCAGTCAAGAGCCACCACCTCCCCTTCCACTGATGGCCTTGGGCCAGTGTGGGGTCCAGCCCAGGTTCTGGCCCTCTCCTGCCTGTGGACCCCACGGAGCTGGATCCCGGCACAGGCTCGCCCCCTCCAGCCACTCGGCCCTCTCCCAAGCAGCTATTGCTCCCCGTCAACGGGCTAGTCCCTGAGAGCCATGATAAGGGAAAGGGAGGGGCGGAAGGATGAGCAGGGATGGGGGCACCACCTTCAGGTCCCCTGAGGTGAGGATGGACAAGGACAGCTCCCCTCGGAGGCCGGGAGCCAAGGAGAAAGAAGCATGCAGGCAAAGGACAGGAGGTAAGTCCCTTGCCCAAAGTCTACAGGATGAGGCTGTGGCACACTTGCCTGACCGCAGTCCCAATTTGTAGGCACACGAATCCTAGAGGAGGGCAATGTTGGCAGATTTTTACTATCACTGGTGTAGGGACGCTCATACACAGAGTCACGCGGTCTGCTTCTCGCCATAAGGTGCAAGACGTCCACGCCCATGGGACCACAGCAGATGCGACTACTACCCAAGGCCCCTGAGTCTCAGGCAAAGGGCCCCCGCACCCAACCCCTCCTAGGCTGAGCCCCACTTCCCTGCACCAGCCTGTTTTCCCTGGATGCCGGCATAAGCTCCTGGGACCAGTCACCAGGGAGTGGTGAGGACAATTCAGTGGGGGCACAAGGTGTCTTCCAGTCAGAAGGCTTTCCGGAATGGTGTCTGGAGCCTGGAAGGTGCTGGAGCAGGAATGAGCACCAGTGGCTAGCGGCTTCGTGCTTGTTCTAGGGCTCTGTCCAAGACTCCGGATGGGGTGCCAGGGTGGACAGAAAGCAAGACTGCTGCCCTCAAAAAGAGCAGGACTCAGAGTACACACAGGCCCTTGGTCACAGACCTACCCCGCCTTGGTACACCGATGGCTTTGAAGGGCACCTGTGGGAGGGGACAGGACACACTGCTCCATCCCCATTCTCAACTCCTAGAAGCCAAAGGTACTTAATGAAGCACCAACTGCCTATTATGAATCGTGTCCCCGAAAAAAGATAGTTGAAGTCCTAACCTCCAGTACCCATGAATATGTCCTTATTAGGAAATGTAATCAAGTTAAGAGGTCATTAAGGTGGCCCCTTAATTCAATTTGACTGGTGTCTTTGTCATCGGAGGACCAAAAACAAAGACAACGGAATCCCCCGCTTGCGCCTCACCACCCCTGCCATGGTCAGCGGGGCTCAACCTCGTCCTGCCCCCGCCCTCACAACCTTCGTGTGCGGGAGCCACCTTCCCGGGGACAGCCAGGCCCAGCCCAGCCACCAGCTGGTGCGAAGACTGAGTAAGAACTTGGGTGCTCAGTGCCCTTCCAGCCCTTTCTCAAGCAAACAAATCACACACGAGTAGGTGAAAGTGACATGATTATACCAAGAAGTAACCTTGAATCTGCTCTCATTTATTATAAGCGAAAGGTAAATTATTAGCAGAGGTGGTATCCTTACTATTATTTGTAACAACTTTCTTGTGACCCACAGTGATCTTGACATTGTCACGGCACAGAGTCTGAAACTGCCTCTCCAACCAGGCCAGCCAAATGCTCACACACAGCTCCAACGACGTGGGGTCCCAGACCCACACAGGGACCCACAGGATGAGGGAAAAATGGGAATGGAGAGAAGGCAGAAGAGGGAGGAGGAAGAGCATACACTCTGCTCAAAGAGAAAGGTGATAAGCGTGGACACAAATGGGCAGGTCAGCGGCCTCCTCCAGCCTCTGGGGGTCGTGGGGGTGCTACCTACTCAGCATCCCTCTGTCCCGGAACCACCTAACACTGAGGTTCTCTGCTCTGGGATTCCTTCCCAGGAAACATGGGCAAACCTGGGGCAGCTGGGAGAGGGTCTAGCTGGCTTTAGCCAAATGCAGATCTCGAGAGGAAATGATCAAGGAGCCTGTGGAGGAAGGTGAGAAAGCCAGGGGATGGTTCACCCAGATGGAACTATTCACCGCCCCCCCGCCAGGCGAGGGCCCTACTTACAGCACCCAGGCCTTCTAGCTCCTTCTGTCCAGCCTCAGATTTCCCTGCCCTAGACCATCTGAGGTCATCTCCTCCCCACTTCTATGAAAGTGCCCTACGCTAGGGATCAAGAGACTCCCAGGTTCCAGTCTGGATCTACCTGCTACCCCACTGTGTGCCCTCGGGTAAGTCACCTCCCCTCTCTGGGTCCCACTTCCTTCATCTGCAAAGATGGGGCGATGATGTTCTGAGGAATTAAATGTCATCGCTATGAAATAAAACATAAAGTCCTATACAAATATAGACCATTAGGGGCACCTGGGTGGCTCAGTCGTTA